CTTCTTCAGAAATGCTGAAGTTTCTGAAGAAGGGTCCAGACCCGAAATGTCAGCTTTCCTGCTCCTCTGATGCTGCTTGGCCTGCTGTGTTCATCCAGCTCTACACCTTGTTACTTCAGATTCTCCAGCATTGGCAGTTCCTACTATCTCTGAATCAATTATTTGCAAGCTGCTTCTTTGGGAATGAATGGAACACAAGCTTGTTTCAGCTTAGACATGGAGAAGATGCTCATCTTTTTCCTGTGATAATGTGCAAAGACGTTTTGTTTTTCATTAAGATACAGAAACATTGAGCTGAAAGAGGAACTTGCAAGTTTGTTAAGTCCAGTCAGATTCAATGAGCTTTGTTGAAACTGACTCACAAAGATACCTGTATAAATATGTCCGTCATTACACCATTTAACAAGGCCCACATTGGCCACCTATCCCTAACTCAGAGCATGATAGCTGTCTTCTTGACCCACTTTAGCTCTTGTCAAGCAGCTACCCCCATTCTGGTTGGAGTAAATTCCCGAATTTTGATCCAATGGTAATGAAGAAATGGTAATACATTTCCGAGTCAGGATGATGGGTGGCTTGGAGGGGAATGTGCAAGTGGCAGTGTCCGCATGTGTCCACAATGCACAATCTGGAATGAATCTTCAAATAATTTGACATTTTAAAATTTAATTAAAACCCAGTTTCTACTCATAGCTTCAGAGCTTTGATTAAATTAACGTTCTAAATTCACAGAAATAATTTGTGTTAATAGTCCTTAGAAATTAACCCTTGGAGTCCAGAAATCATTCCAACAAAAGCGCTTTCTCCAAAGTTGAAGTATTCCTTCCTTAGGAGTTGTGCTCGGAACTGAAGCTAGTGTTCCTGATGTGGTCAAGCTGGCATTCAGTACAGCTGTAGTTTGAACATACACATTAGAAGCAGTAGGAGGCCACTGAACTCCTCCAGTCTATTCCGCCATTCAATAAAACCGTGGCTGATATACTTACTTTACACTTCCACCTACCCCGATAACCCACAAACCCTTTGCTTAACAAGAACCTATCTACCTCTGCTTTAACGCTATCTGTAATTAGGACTGTGCTTCCGTTGTCTTCTAAGGAAGAGAATTTCAAAGACTGACAACCACATTTTTGACGTGTAACTCCTTCTTTCTCATCTATGAAACATAAAGGCCAGCATTCCACTACCTACTTCCATCCTAATTTTACTGGTCCATGGCTTGTGTACCAGGAATTCAGCACAGAATGGCTATGGTACTGGGAAATCTGTTTCTTAGTCTGTATAAATCAACGCCTCACTGAATAAACTTGCTAAGTTTATTGCAAGATGAATATGACCCCCAGTACCACTTTGATTTAAAGTACCGATTAGTAATCACAAGAATGAGAGGTTACTGCTCCTCCCACAGAAACTGGTGTGTGAGTGCAGAGGGCAGGTATTGACTGATAATTGTAAATGTTTATGTAATTCAATCTGTAATGTCAATGATTTGAAAATCTCAGCCACCTGCACAAGCCCCTTCATATTGTATTTTCCAAGTGCCTAGACATTAGTCCATTTCAGTAACAATCGTTCTATTTTATTTCAGCTCTTCCAGAAGACGTGATAAAAGTTGGAAAAGACATCAAGCCAACCATTGAAATCAAGCAAACCGGAGACAACTTTGTCATTACGACAAAAAATCCACGCCATTCAGTAACAAATCAATTTACTCTTGGTAAAGAGGCTGATATGACCTCCATGGACGGGAAAAAGCTGAAGGTATTTTGAGTTTCTGTTTGTTTAGTCTCCCCTGTGTGGTTACCTATTGTCAGACACCATGCAGTAGTCTTACATACACACAAATTATTTCAAATTCTGCCCCATGCATTTCAGAATTTTTTCTATGATCCACAGCTGGGAAATATATCAAATTTGCACAGTTCACAGCTTTAAGTTATAGACATTCCTTTTCTCAGTGAGTGCAGGTACTTAGTTCATCTATCCCTCAGTATAACTGTCAGTAAATCCAGTAATGAGTCTACTTTACAACGCCCTGGTCTCAATGTAAACAATATTTTAAATTCTTCAATTTCTTTTTGGTTTGAAGTCAAAAGATCAAACATTTTTGCGTACATTCACAATAATTTTATTTCACATAGTGTACTGTCCATATGGAAGATGGGAAGCTCGTATGCAAGTTGAAAAACTTTGTTCATGTACAGGAGGTGCACGGTTCTGAAATGATTGAAGTAAGTACTTGAGATAGTAGGAACTGACGATGCTGGAGAATCTGAGATAACAAGGTGTAGAGCTGGATGAACACAGCAGGCCAAGCAGCATCAGAGGAGCAGGAAGGGTCTAGGGCCGAAACGTAAGCCTTCCTGCTCCTCTGATGCTGCTTGGCCTGCTGCGTTCATCCTGCTCTACACCTTGTTATCGAAGTAAGTACTTGATTATATTGCTCCTCAAAATATTCCACATGCTGTGTAGCTTTTGACCAATGCAATGACCAACTACACCCCAGTATGAGTAATAGCCTAAAGTTATAAAGTAATTGTTATATAATATTTATACGTAGATGAATTAGAGTCAATTAGAATTGAAATAAAGATATTTTACCAACATCATCGGGTAGTTTGAGGAAAAGTCTGGAAAATATTTGACATTTTCTATTTTTTATTTGCTTGTCACTAACTAGAAAATAGGTCTAGATATGGCAGCCCTGTAATCCACTGGGAACCATGAATCTCCCAAGCTGATGTGAATACACATAATACAAGTTCCCTGTCCATAGCCAATACCTGTTATATCTAAGTATTTGTTTCTCAGTGAAGGTGAGGTCTTAGATAGGAAATGTGGCCCTGACGGTCTTTCTAAAAATTAAACTGCCCTTTTTTAAAATTTACTCTAAACAAATTGATTGGATTCCACCAAATGGTCCCATAATTTTTTTATTTGCAAAAACAAAAGCTTCTGAAATTTATCTCAAAACTCCCCCGTCCTGTGAAATTAGATTTAGTAAAACTCAATATGGGAGAGCAGGGAATAATTTATTTGAAGACAGATTTGTTTTGCTTGTTGTAGCAATTCTTCAACAGTCGAAAGCAATGCAATAATTTTAAAAATCATTCTCTCTACTCGAGGGCCTGAGCAAGTCTTGATACCTGAGACTAGTGTGTCATTTGGTGCTACAAAGGGCTTGAAATAAATGCATCAAATGGTGCACATTCTCCATTTATATCATGTTATAATAAAATAATCTTCATTGTCACCTAGTGACCCCATTCTATTTTAAGGTATGATAACACTGTGTTGCCACTTTGCCATTCAGTTGACTCATTTCTTTCCTGTTTTTTAACAGAAACTTACTGCAGGCACCACTACTATGATTAGGAAAAGCCGAAGAATTTAACCGGAATGGAACTAATATCCTGTGATCTATTCCAATAAATGAAATAAAATCAGTTGTATTTTGTGTGTGCCTGTATGAATAGAATATCTGCCACTCTCTCTGAGTCAGGAGACTGGGTAATCTTGACAAAGTAGCTCAATTCTTGCCTCAAGGTCAGAGGCTGTGATTCAAGTCACACCCCAGAACCCAAGCACAAAATCTCCCTTCTTAACTATACACTGGCTGTCTTCACGCACAAAGGATTGCAGCAGAAGGCAGTTCACCACTACTTTCTCAAGGGCTAATAAGGTTAGACAATAGGACCATAAGAAGTAGGAACAGAATAGTCCATTCAGCCCCTCGAGCCTGCTCCACCATTCAATAGGATCATGGCTGATCTAACATTCTTCACATCCACCTTCCTGCTCTTCCCCTATAACCCCTGATTCACTGACTGGTCAAGAATCTATTTATCTCAGCCTTGAATATACTTAATGACCCAGCCTTGACAGCCTTCTAATGTTAAGGAATTCTATAAATTCACTAAGGTCTGAAAGAAGGAATTCTTCCTCATCTCTGTCTTAAAGGTGCCACCCCTTCTTCTGAGACTATGCCCTCTGTTCCTAGACTGTCCTGCAAGTGGAAACAACCTTTCCACATTTACCCTGTCAAGTCCTCTAAGAACCTTATTTGTTTCAATGCTGTATAACTCTAAGAGATCACCTCTCATTCTTCTAAATTCCAATGGATCATAATAAACACTGGCCCAGCCAGCGATGCCCATATCCTGTGAAAGAATAAACAAGAATAGACTGACACTCACTTTCTGCACTGTATCAAATGCTGTCTTTCAAATGAGAAGTTAAATTGAGGCCCCTACTGTCCTCTAAAAGATCCCATGCCAGTATTTTGTAGAAGAGCAGGGGAGTTCTCCTCAATGTCCTGGGGCCACAGTTATTCCTCAAACAACATCACCAAACAGATTATCTGGTCATTATGTCACTTCTGTTTCAGGGAGCTTGCTGTGCACAATTCTGTGTTTCCAAGATGACAACAGTGACACCTCTCCATGAACTGGAAAGTGCTTTGGAACACTTGATAGTTATGAGAGGGACTTTATAAATGCAAAGTCTTCATTTTCTTTTCCTGTAGCTACAATAAATCTAGTTAATTTTCTAATTGCTCCACCTCTGGTGAGGCCACTTTCTTTTACATTTCCATCAATGCTCTCTCTCGCTCACATACAAAACGTATGGCCATTTTCCACCGTGACACTCACATTCTCTGCCCACTGACCTTGCACCTTCTCAAGCTTCAACTTATCCCAAAGTGCAGCACCTCCATGTTCATCTACACAGAGATCTCAATTACATCACCCCTGCCTTCTCCAAATTCCACAAATCCTAGTAAGTTCTCAAATTCATTCAAACATACAAATATATGAATCGGAGCAGAAGTAAGCCACTCGGCCCATCAAACCTGCTCTACCTTCAATAATAGCTGACCTGATTCCTCCACTTTACCACCTACTCCTGATGACCTTTCACCTCTCTTTACTTATCAAGAATTGATCTACTTCTGCCTGTGATAAAATGCAAAGACTCTGCTTCCACTGCCTTTTGAAGAAATGTATCTCACAACTGGGGTCCTCTTTTTAGTCATACAATTATATTGGCAGTACCTGACCCCTGTATGTTTACAACAGGTTGTCTAGCTCAGGAAAGAGCTGCAAGATGCCAGAAAATAAACATTGGCAGAGCTCTCTGGGAATAGTTAAAGAAACAAGTGGAATCTTCCCAGACCCTGAGCAACATAGATCATGTCTAGAAGGTTAGAAAATGTCCAACAAAAATGTTGTTAATATTGAGATTAAAAAGTCCTGTTTTCCAACAAAGTATTGGGATAGTGAGACAAGGTTCTCACCAGTGAGAGTGAGATGTATACCAGCAAAGATTATCACTTACTATCATCCCCATTGCAACTACCTAAACTCACCTCGTTGCTCAGCAGCTTCCCATTTTTCCACCCCTCACCTAAAGAAGGACTGAGGCTCCGAAAGCTTTGATTTCAAATAAACCTGTTGGACTAATACTTGGTGTCATGTGATTTCTGACAATTCCACCCCAGTCCAAAACCAGCACCTCCACATCCTGTTTGATAGAAACATAGCCACAGAGTAACTAGGAGCAGGAGTAGGTCATTTGGCCATTTGAACCTGCTCCACCATTCAATATGATCGTGATCCAACTCAGTCCCCTGTTCCTGCTTTCTCCCCTATACTCTTTGATCCCTTTAGCCTTATGACCTATATCTACCACCTCAACTGCTTTCTTTGGCAGAGAACTCCACAGACTCACCACCCTCTGGGTGAAGAAGATTCTCCTCATCTTAGTCCTAAATGGCCCAGCCTGTATCCTTAAACTGTGACTTTTGGTTCTCCTAGTGGCTCCCTGGTTATTGCGAACATCCTTCCCGTTGTTCGCTTTGTCTAATCTTCTTTGCATTTCTGAGCACCTCCCTCATTCTTCTAAACTCCAATGAACATAATCCTAAATGATCCAACCTCTCCCTATACGTCAGTCCTGCCATTCCAGTAATCAATCTTGGAAACCTGCTTTGCATTCTTTCCATAGCCAGACATCCTTCGTCACTTAAGGAGACCAAAACTGCACACAATACTCTGCGTGTGTTCTCACCAAGGCCCTGAATAGAAATCAGATGCCAAGAATTCCCAACATGAAAGTCTGAGTGGGGAGCTGATAATTCCCACTCACCGTTTGCCTCCTTGCACCACCACCTCCGACACTTGGCACCAACATCTCAGGGCAAGTTCAATGGGCAGTGCCCATACCCACCACTCATTCACAGACCATGGCAAGTTCTTTTTTTTAATTCACTCATGGGACGTGGGTGTTGCTGGCTGGGCCCAGCATTTATTGTCCCTAGTTGCCCTTGAGAAGGTGGTGGTGAGCTGCCTTCTTGAACTGTTGCAGCCCATGTGCTGTAGGTCGAGGAAATTCCAGGATTTTGTCCCAGTGACACTGAAGGAATGGTGATATATTTCCAAGTCAAGATGCTGAGTGGCTTGGATGGGAACTTGCAGGTGGTGCTGTTTCCATGTATCTGCTGCCCTTGTCCTTCTAGTTGGAAGTGATTGTGGCTTTGAAAGGAGCTGTTAGAGAAGACTTGGTGAATTTCTGCAATGCATCTTGAAGATCGTACACACTGCTGCGACTCAGTGTTGGTGTTGGAGGGTGTGAATGTTTGTGGAAATCAGATATATATCAGCCTCACCATCCTCATGATACACCTCCACTCCAATTACAGTGCACTTCTGCATTTAGAACATACTGGCACCTTTCATTGTAATGTTACTGCGAGGACACTTTGTGCAGGAACACGCAGCAAGCTCATGGATTGGACCTGGGAGCATTCCAGGGCTTCTCAAAGAGCTCACTCACATTGTACCTACTTCAATACTCACAGCGTCTGTGCCTTGCCTTTTGCGTTTGCCCCCTCAGTCAGAGTTAATGGGTTCACAGACCGTCTGTCCTGCCTTCCCTTTGAGCACAGACATGAAGACAGGCAGCTTGTCCTGGTTTTTAGCTGTGATTGCACTAAGTTGTTCAGAGAGAAACAGGATTATGGCATTGAGATAGAGGATCAGCCATTATCAAACTGAATGGTGAAGCAGGCTTGAAGGCCTGAATGGCCAATCCTTCTCTTATTTGTGGTGTTTCTATGTTTTAATCTTCATAGGAGCACAAAACAAATGCTTATAAAACATGAGCTTTATATTCTTATTAAGACTGACAAACAAATTTCTCTTTATTGTTGACTTAACTCAGTCCATCATTGTGTCGAAGAGGGAGAGTGGAGTAAAATATTTCTGGGTGAGGTCAGAATCATATTCATCTTCTCGATTTTCCACATTCCACTCATGGCAGTAAATCACAAAGACTTTGCACCAACCAGCAATTAGTTCTTTTTGTATTTGTATCTAACTACCTGAAGCTCTGTTCATAAATCTGGTATTTGAAATATTAGACTTAACAGCACACAGATCTAAATTCCATCAAAAGCATGAGAACTTCATTGTCCTTGGATTATAGATGATTCACCTGTGAAGGAGTTCCTGTTGCAGCCTGATTGGGTTGGTTTTGTTTGGTTTGGTCAGTCTGTTCAGTAAGTAGCTGAGTCATATGGATCATGCCTATATCTGAGCCATGGCTTGTAATGTTAGCTGATCTTAGCCAGGTTGGCAAAAAGGGCTGTGGAGCTGAAAAAATAGGTCTGATAACTGTTCACATCCGTCCATTAGCAAGTAAACCTGTGCGCTAATGAGATGAGCACAGATCAGGCATTCTGAGGCAACTCAAAAAATCTACCGACATCCACCCTGGTGAATAAGCATATGGATAAGGTACGCAGGACAATCATGGATTTGAAGCCCAAGGAATTAAAATGTGCAACAGAGACAAGAGGGAAAGAAATTGGTGGAGGAAAATATCAGGAAGAAGAACCAAATTTCATTTTTTCTAGACAAGAGTCCTAAATTTATACTCCTATTCAGACTTTAAAGAATACTTCTGCAGAGTGAATGAATTTGACATTTTGAGGAAATGTTCGCTAATGATCCATTTCTGAATCACAAACTATTCAGATATCAGTTAGCCTCATTCAAACTTTTATCAATTTTTGAAGATAGTCAGTTTTTTTTATTGGTTTTTGTTGGAAATACAGAGCTTGTACTGAAAAATTGAGTATTTTACAATTAAGTAGCATAGTTCAGCAACATTCAACAAGATGCATACAGCTGAAGTCACCAACATGAAAATCGTACAGATCGTTTTCTCAGTTGGTCTAGAAATGAAACAATCCACGGTATTAGGACAGGGATATTCACTGCATTTGACAAGTCTGAGCATCTTGTAGCCTTCATAAATCCAATAGAACAAGAACATAAAGACAGCTTCAAACAGCAACTTAAACAAAATGCTGACCAAGTAAGTTCGTAAAAGAGGGGCATCGATTTTTACTTTCTGCA